CCTTTCTAAGGAAACCAAAGCTCAGTGGCTGTTTGTGAAGGCCAAAGGAGACGCAAACGTCCGATGGACGCGAAAGCGCGGCGAACACACGCATACGTACTCCGCGCACCGGAGATATTTCAAACTGAAGGAGTTTTTGATCCCAGAAGGCAAGGAGGGTAAGCTTTGGTAGGACCGGTCACCAGTCCTTTACAAATACACACAGGACAGACAACCATGCATACAAATGTTCACACCGAAAGACCATTTAAAGACATTGATATCACTGAGAGTCATTGTTTTGGACTGTGTGAAGAAGCTGTATCCAGAGAAAACACACACATGCACACGCACAACGTGCAAACTCGGTGCAGAAAGACTTCAGGCCAGGACTCGAACAGACGACCTTCTATCTGCAAGGCAACTACGTCAACTATGCCCTGCAGGCTAAACACTGATTCATTAAAGTATTTTTAAAGATTTAGGCAGTCAGTATGAATATTTTTCAGAAAACACACACAATAAAGAGTACTATGAAAGTTTTCGTGGCATCAGGGCCACTGTAGTTTGAGACACCTCAACAACGTGTAATTGCAGTTGTTTACAAAAAGTAAATAAAAAATTGTGTTTTATGCAGAATGTATTTCTGCGTTCTGCACCCTGCCACGGTGAGGATATGTTTGTGTGTGAGGCAACAGAAGGAGGCGTTTTGGCAGGCTGCTGTTCATGCATGCACCCCATAGAATAAACTCTTATTACAACTTCCACATCAGTGTAAAGAATATCACTTCACAATAAAAATGTTTGTGTGAAATAAAAGATCAGAAAGGCTTTATAGTTTAACTAAGTGTACCAAATTTCATATCTGGATTTCCAGAAACCGTTTTGCCTGAAGGGACCCATGTTTTCAAATTCAGCTTTAGGATCCCATCTGAGTAAGTATTTTTTTGGCTACTCTAGCCACCTCTGATTGGAGCTTGTCAATGAACACATGACGTTACGTCAACCAGACAATTCACTAATGGGTCGAATGACCATAATCTTTTTGTCATACAGAAACATGCCATCGTCTTTCAAAGGAACTCATGGAAAAATTGTCTACAAGCTGGAGGCCAAACTGTCCAGGAGCTGGAGGATGGATTCCACTGCAGAGAAGGAGCTCATTTTTGTCTCAAAGTCCTCAAACTTCAACACTCTTTTAGTGCGTATCATATTCCATGAAATAGTCAGTCATGAAATAAGTCACCCCAAATCCTGCTGTTTTACTTTTGGATTGGTGACATTTGTGGATATTCTGACAAAGTTAACTTTCTCTATATTTTTCCTCCTTTCAATAAGCTAGACTTAGACCTACATAAAACACGATTTATAACTGTGCATTAAAGTTATTTAATATCCTGTTTTATTTGCTTTTTTGACCTGGCTATGTGTGTGTGTTTTACATTTAGAGTTGGAAATGGTAGCATGATGACTCAGCCAGGATGTTTTTTGTACAAGCAGGCATTTTGGTTACGTTCAGGATGACATATGGCTGAATGAGGACATAAAGTGGCAGAAGTGAGAATTAACTGCATTCTCTACCATTTTCATTTATGGCAACCATATTAGAATTCTAACTTTAGGGGCATCAACTCTTGTTCAGCTTTGGACTTTTGTCTTTTAATTGACTTCCTATAATTAAAATGCATCATCAGGTGGAGAATGCCTTTATGACAGTCCTGCTTTGAAGACTCAGTGATGTTATAGCACTGCCCTAGTTTGCAAATAATAGTCTAAAAAAGTCTATTGAGGTGAGAGGCTCCACTATTAGCCGTGCCATAGATGTTGGAACATTGTCTTCATGACTTTGCTATGACTGTGTTCTTTTTCTGTCCTCCAGTCACAGCAAGTTGGTTCCACAGAGAAGGAGATGGGGATGTTCTCTAAGGGACAAGTGCACATGGATGCCACTGTTAACAAGACGGTGTACGCCCCAGGTAGTTGGATTCTTTTTTTCAATTATAAGCTGTTTTAAATGCTGAAGAAGGGCCATCAGTTTAATTTAAGTGACGTTTACTCAGGTAAATATAAACAACAATGCATTAATGGACCTTTATAGTTCTGCAGCTGTTTTTCTAAACAAAAGTAAGATACAAATCTAATTGTGGAAATATTTTCCAATAAAAAATATGCACTTACCCTGAAGCTAAGTAACTACAACAACCTTCCGAGTATTCTGAAGAAAGCTTAGAAATATCTTTAACACCAGAGGTATATTTATATTTGCTGTTAATTAAGATTTATAGCTCAAATTCTATGTAGTGATTGAAAACTTAGAGAAACGTCAACAATTTGAGATGTTTTTCCTGACAGGTGAAACTATGTTGATATTCGCAAAAGTCAACAATGCCTCTTCTCGAGACATGACTCCCAAATTTACCCTGGCGCGGAGTGTTCAGTTTCGGGCTCAAGGAGACAGCAAAAATGAGGAATACACTGTCGAGAAAGTGGTCGATAAGGTTATCAAACCCCACACCCAGCATGAGGTCAAGTGTGAGATGACGATTCCCACTGATGAGATGCATTCCATCGAGAACTGTGAAATCATCTCGGTGACACACCAATTAAAGGTACAACACAGAAACGTGTCAAATAGAACTTTTCATTTTTAAATATGCAACTTTGCCGTTTTCAACAGTTTTTAAGCCATTTAAAATTGAGTCATTACTTTTTCATGATTTCTCACAGGTATATCTGGACATCAGCTTTGCCTTTGATCCAGAGATTATCTTCCCAGTGGTTATTTCACACCCTACTTTAGTCTTTGGTGCTAATAACAGTGGGCCTGTGGGTCCTTATCCTGTTGGTGCTTTCGGTGGTCCAACCAACAGTGACTTCCTTCCCCCTGCAATGGCTGTTGGTCCTTATCCTGCACCACCGTCTTCAGGTCCCTATGGCTACCCAGGTGCCCAAAGTCCTTCAGCACCTCCACCTGCATACCCAAATAATCCACAAGGGTATTATGGTCCGCCAGGGCCTTATGCTCCTCAGCCACCTCCCATATATGGGGCCCACACCAACCCAATGCCACAGGGGCCTTCTCCATATGCAAGTCCATTTTCACCCTCTTCATCCTCCACCATGCTTCATCCTCCACCGCCTGCGCCGATGTTCCACGTGCCCCATTCAGGGCCCCAGGTCCAGCCACCTTCTTCCTCCGTGTCTCCTTCAGCTCCCACTTTCAACCCAATGCCTTCTGCTCCAGACATGACGACAGACTTCCTGGCTCAGACAAATGATTTTCCCCCGGCATACGCATCACTCTTCCCATCTTCGACTCCGGAAAAATCAGATACAAAATAACTACCTATTTAAATTATGGCTAAAACATATATGGAACCACATAGGCTTCATGAGCATTTATGAATGCTCTAAATGTGTTGTTGGAGAGTGACATAATAAAGCCAGTGTAATCAATATTAGATGTATGATGAAGTATACTGTTACAAATGATTTCTGATTAGTTCAGTTGCTTTTGGCCTTTTATTCTGGTGACAATAATTTAACTAAGCTTATATTCTCAGGATACCTTCCGATAAAATGCCTTAACATTTAAAGTGTGCTTTTAGCATAAATTTATACCCGTCTACCTCTGTATCAATTGTATGTAAAGCATGTCAAAAGCTTGCATTTTATGGATCTAATGTTCAAATAAAGATCCTTAAGTAATTTCTATGCGTTTTTTTTTTTAATGGTAGATTAAGGATTTGGTAATGTCAATTTTGATGAACTGATAAAAATATATAATGTAATTTGAATGACAATTGTTTAGCTGCCTGCTAACTCAAACAGTTAAACATTTTCCCAGTCTAATCGTTTAGATGTCTAGATATGGCAAAGATGTTTTTTTCTGTACTTCAACCATCAGAATGGGATTTGAATGTTTTTTGAAAATAGTCATGTCACTATTTGTTTCAGTATTGATTTTCATTTTTGTTCATTGAAAAATCTTGCCATAGTTCCTTTGTTGAGATTCTTAGTTTATTCATTTGTACACTTCCTTGTGCATTTGCACTTATTTTCTTTTAGGTCATTCTCAGGCCTTTTGGTACTTCCCTTTATCTTTAGTTCACCTCACTGTTCTTCAGCTGTTCCTTATTTTCATTTGATTAGGCAACTTTATTTCCACAGTATTTAGGTTCCTGGATTGGTGCTGCATTGTTTTGCTATGTACTGCTACTTTTGTTTTTTGCCTGCATTTGCTGACTTGCTCTGCCCAAATTGTTTTTTTTTTCTTTAAGTTCTTGTATTTTATTGTAAAGTACACTATTTTGCAAGTCTGTCACTGTGCTTAGGTCCTCTTTAAACCTAAAAAAAAGAAAAAAAAAGAAAAAGTTTTTGGTGCCTGAAGTGGTGGTCTGACAATCTCAGAAACTTCTTATCTGCTTCAAACGTATCTTAGGTTTACAGAGAATTAACCAACAAAGAGAAAGACGTGGATAAAATGCATTGTTGATGTCAAAGTACATAAAAAGAAAACAAATGGGACAGACTGGAAAGGCAGCAATAGTTCAAATGATACCTGATAAAACATTTAGATAATGGACATCACTGTTTCTCCTCTCAGCTTAGAAAACAAAATTTTAATCTCAAATGAATTTCCGCTTTGACATTCAGATTGCAGCATAAAAATTTAGTGTAAACCTGAACGCGCAGATCCATTCTAACACTGTACTAACACTTCAAGTAGATTGTGGTATAAAGGATATTAAATCAGCACACATTTGGCCCCTTTGTACCAGTTGAGCATCAACTTGCTGCTGAACATCTCCATTGGTCACTGCAAAATTAAAACAGTGCAAAAGGTCATCAATAAATATCTTAGTTGACTAATGGGAATTACCATTGTATTACTTCAAAAGCTATTTTTACACACACACGTATATGAAATGATAGTTCCACTTGCCCTACATCTTAGCCTGAGAATGATCTTTCTAAGCAACACACAGTGCATCCGTGTCCGCCCCCGTGGGACCCGGAAGCAAGGTTGTGCTTTCAGAAACAACCGCTGGATCATTTTACACCGACAACAGGGGACACTAACATGTCAATATGTCCCGAATTAACGACTTCAGGATCATTTGTGAGGACGCGAAGAGAGATGGCGCTTTTTCCGAAGGAGACGAGGTCGCAGGTTTGGTCTCTTTTAACCTTTCAAAAGAGACGAAAGTCAAGAGCGTCAGTGTGAAACTTAAAGGAAGCGGTCAGGTTTATTGGACTGAAGGAATCGGAGACGACGAAACGTCGTACAGCGCCAGCAAGAGATACCTTAAAGTCAAAGAATACCTGGTGGTGGAAAAGACAGAAGGTAAGTAAAATAAGTGTGACCTGGTGGCAAAGAGTGACAGGAGCTCAAGCTGGCGTCAGTTTCTCTTTAATTCACCATCTGCATTTCACATAATGGGCCATCGAGGTAAAGTCAGTACCTGGCATCAAACAAGCCGGGGTGATCCTCATTGCTCTGACGATTACCCATAATACCTCGCTCTTTCTCAGGTGACTGCAATGCAACGTTTTACCAGGATTTAACCTGAACCATTTTAACTATATCACACATACTGGGGATAATTGCTTTTATTCCTGTCACATTCCTATGAAGGTGTTCATATGGAAGTACGTGTTAATGGAGGTCATATTTTGGGGTTCTCTAATAAGTTAAAGGTAATTTTATTTATGAAGCACATTTTCAGCAAGAAGGCAATACAAAGTTTTTTGCAGGAATTTAAAGGAAATACAAACAAAATGACTAACCAACGAAAAGAGCAAAAGAAGAAAAAGCCAATAATGTTGATCTAATTCCTTAGAAAAAACTTGTTCAAATTAAGCTGCCAGTTAAGCATAATTTTAAAACAACAGCAGTCTTTAGCCTTCTATATTCTATCTTACGTTATTGCAAACTGGCAGTAAATTATGCTGATTTATTTACAATTTGTGATTTTGGCATTCTCGTTTATAACTAAATTACTGGAAACAAAGAGCAGAAAAAGGGTAGAAATAGCCGAGATAAGACAAATGGGATGTCAACGTCTCTTATCAGTTTGGGCAGGAAGAAAGCATGACAGACATGTCCGATGTTGAAACAAGAAAACAACAGAAAATAGTTGTTGGTTACTCCCACCTGTGGAATTTCCATTATTAACGAGACCATAGACATCTGATGTGTTAGTCCCTGTGTCAGACTTTTAAAAATTCCTCCTTAAAACAACAAATTAAGAACAAAGTGATTTTATATTACAGGTACATTAATAAATGTATAATTAACAAATATGTCATTTGTTCATTTTTAATTATGCTGAAGAAATTAATGTTGGTCAATAGAATTTGCTGATATGAAGAACCCATCAAAGAAATTACAATATTTCACAACATTTATGTCAACATTTGAAGTTGTGACATCAAAATAACCCAATTTGGTTTCGCAACATTTTGTTTTCCCACAACACTTTTTTGTTGTTGTTTTTTAGAATGATTATTTTATAAGCCTTTCACTGAAATGCTTAATTTCTCTTCTCAGGCAGCGTTCTTCCTCAAGGGACCAATCAGTTCAAGTTCAGGCTTCAAATTCCACAGGAGTAAGTGTGATTTTCTAACACATGCCATGAACTGGTGAAAATGGTGTTATTATTTCTTTTTACACTCATGTCCATACTTAAACGTGTTTGCCCTGTCAGGGACTTGCCATCCTCCTTCAAGGGGATGCATGGCAGCATTGTTTACACAGTTGAAGCACAGATATGTAGGAAATGGCATTTGGATTCTACAGTGCAAAAGGAGATCCAGTTTCTTTCAAAGTCCATACGAAACACTCGCCAAGTTGTGGTAGGTGTGACTCTCTGGTGCTGTATCACATTGTTGAACAAGCTTACTGAGAAATATTTGAAAGGTTTGTTTTTGTTGCATATTGTAGTGTCCACAGTCCAACTCGATAACAGAAAAGATAGGAGTTTTCTCCAAAGGAGAAGTCCACATGACTGCTTCTGTAAACAGGAGTGTTTGCTCTCCAGGTACAGTTTAATTTTTCTCATTCATTTCAGGGGAGAGAAACTGTTAACAGGACAATTCCACATATCTGGCTTTTATGCAGGAGTGGCAGAAAGAAGCCATTTACTTAAAGAAAGTCAAGTCTTTTGATGTATCAAGGACATTTTGAGGTGCCAAAAGACTTGAGATAGGGGTCAAAGTTTACATTTGAGCAGGACAGTGACCCTATACCTTCAGCCAATTTTTTGACATTCAACTGAAGGATGGCCCAGTTAATACTTAGATCTAGATCTAACTATGTACAGGTTAGACCTGAAAAGGATGGACCAGTTAATACTTAGATCTAGATCTAACTATGTACAGGTTAGACCTGAAAATTTAGCAAGGCTCTCCTTCCACTCTGTCTGAAATTTGTGGGCACTGTGTTTACATTGTCATTCCTGGTCAACAGTAAGTTTACTTACATTCAGATTTTTCTGTTTCTTTAAACAGGTGACAAACTAATTGCTTTTGCCAAAATCTCTAATGGTTCCTCCAAGTCAATGAAACCAAAATTCAGTTTACAGCAAAAGACTGTTTACGTCGCTGGGGGTTCCAAAAACATCACCGACTCTTTATGCAAAAAAGTCGGCGACACCATCAAACCAAACTCTCAGGAAACTGTGTCCTGCACCATCAATGTTCCTCCAGATGCTATCTACACTCTCAATAACTGTGATCTTGTCTCTGTTGAGTATTACCTCAAGGTATGTAAATATCCACCGGTGCTACACACATTTCTTTTTACCTTGGGTTTTCAACTTTTCATCACGGTGCTTCCATATGAAATGTTGATTACAACCAGCAGCATGTCAACCCTGCTGGAAAGCTGTGATTTTGCTTCTGTACTAATTTTTTTATTAGGTACAAGCCATAGGTATCAAAATTAAAAGAAATTGACATAATCTGTGTCTAGTAAGTCAATCAAGAGGTTACATTTTTAAATGCAATTAGTGAAATAAATTAAAGTTTTCATCATGGTTTAACTGATTGACATGGACCTACACAATATAAACTGGTTTTATTCATGTCTGCATTCATCAGGTGTACTTGGACATTAGTTTTGCCGTCGATCCAGTGGTGGTGTTTCCCCTGATAATCGCTCCTGCCGTTGCACCTAATCGCTGTGAGGAGTTGGGGCCTTACCCAGGTGGTCCTGCAGGGCCCCCGAGTTCCAGTGGCTTCTCATCTGCAGCTGCCTACCCCAGTGAATTTAATCCTGAACCCATAAGCACAGGTGCCTGTGGGTACCCCACACTGGAAGATGAACCCCCGTCATACCATTCTCTTTTTTCCAATGGCCAAGAGTGAGCCAATTCAAAGGGACTGAACTTAAGACATAAAATGTAGTCAGAATTGACGCTTGTGTCAATTATGTCATTATCTTTAGCAATGTGCACTAAAGGAGGACTTTCTGGTAAAATAAAAACTTGTTTGCTTTCTCCTGATTACATTTGTTGTGGAAAGAAGAAATAAAGTCCACTAATATCATTCAGGCTTCCAGTTTCTTTTAGTGATGAGTGTGGCTTTCAAACTCAGATGGTACATTTATGCTCGCTAAAGTCATTAATTATCCATGGAGTCTTTCCACTGTTCTGGTTTCGCCAGACCGAGTAATAAGCAAAGTGCTTTGATTACTGTTTTCCCAAATTGATTACGTTTCACAAATCAAATAAAGTCTTTTGCTTGTCACAAATAAAACAATGAAGCTGAAAATGCTCTTTTGTTGTTACTAACAGAATAAATCTAACTGTGTATTATGCAGTGTACAATCTTGACTGATAAATACATATACATATCAAATCATTTGTTCCTTTATAAGCATCTTAACTCTGTCATCCTGAAAAGAGACACTTTATGTGTTCAATGTTCAGATATGGAGGACATTTCTCAGAAACATCCTCCTCTTTTTCTGAGGCGGTCAAGAGTTTAATAACTGCAATTGTTAAACACTTATACCTGACAACTCCAGTTAATTCACTGCATGTACTCAGATGCCCGGTATTGACTTAAATGTCATTGCAGGGCAACAAAAACACTCCAATTTTACCCCAATGCCAAGACAGAAGACATCAAATCAAATTAAAAGTGTTGTTAATGAAATCTACCATCTGATCTTTTTCTGTAAGATCAGCACAGTAGTCTATTTTGAAGTCCACAAAGAAAAAAAAAACGGTGGTGCTTTTAAAAATTACAGAAATCAACAGTTTCACTTTATATTTAGTTTTGTATATATTGACAAATGTTTCCCTGGCAAATACTTTTGGAGGTTTCTGGCAACACGCAAGTATTTTTCTTTGTGTCCTTGTCAACACAGTCTTTGTCTGAGATACAGGAAAACATCATGTGATCATGCAGGCCCACAAAAGCTCCCCAGCTTCTCATAGCAACGAGTCAGAATGTTTGATTCGAGTGGCAACACTGTTTTCTTCTACCAGCAGATTTATGCTCTTTAAACCTCATTAGCAGTCTATGGAGTCTTGGCAGAGTGGTTGTAAAGCGACGTTCTCTCCTGGCAGTGTGGGAAACAAAGAGCCTTGGGGTAAAAGGACAAGAGTTTATCTTGTCCTTTGGTGTAATTTTATTTTGTTTGTTTTTTGCCACTTTATATAGCAAGAAATATATACTATATAACATTATATATAGATTTGCAGCATTCTTTTTATAAAATGCGCATTTTTAATTGGCAACAGTAATTACTTAATTGATGTGTTTACTGCATTGTGTTTTAATAAAATATTATCCTCATCTTTCTGCCTTCTGAGTCTCAAAACAGTTCGAAGAAATGTTTATAATGTAAATGTAAAAATTATCTTTTTTGTTTGTTTGTTTTTTTTTTACTTCACATAAATGACACGTGCATTGTAGCTAAGTTAGCGTTTACTTCATTTGCAGATGATCAATCTCAGGATTGGGGCAGCTTCAGTCTGACGATGGAAAAAGAAATAAAAGTAATAGAGAAATGAAATGAACAAATGGATTAAAAAAAGCTAAACTCATGCTAAACAGTATTAAAATTGTGAGAGTTTATGAAATCAGATTTTTGCGAGTTGACTTCAAATTCCTCCCAGTAGATGAGTATTGCTGGATCACCATCACCCAGTGAAAGAGCCGCGTTGTCGCAGCATGGTGCACTTTCCACACTCATCCCCAACTTGACACTGGGGAGAGATCCTGATGAGCGCTGTCACTGTCACTCCACGAGGCCTGAAAGCTTCCACTGCTGATGCAGATTGTTCATTGATTAAAAAAAAAAAATCAATGTAGCTGTTTTTCTGACGGTGAATTGTGCAGGACACGTCTGCTATGTGTTTGAATGGGACTGTATTTATAGACGAGGAATATTTGAGAGACAAAACAATATATACAATGAGCAATACATCACAACTGACACTTAACATTCTAAAATAAAATGTGTGGGGGGTTTTTCTGATTACATAATGCTAAAATTTGAAGTCAACAAAGGTTTCAATTGTTTTGAATAGTAGGGGACACCATGTCCCCCAGAAGTCCCTCCCTTTTCATCCGTCTCTTTGGAAAGTTCAGCTCCCTCCCACTTGTTGCTACTGCTCACCGTCTGTAAGGACAAAAACTCCTGCTCAAATCTGCACCTGCCATCGCTATGAGAGGAAAGGAACTGCTTTCTGAGTTTTTGCTTTTACTTATCTTTTTGAAAGGTAAAATCTGACCCCATTTGTAAAAAAAAAAATGCTAGATTGCACTGACTTTGTGTAATTGAATACGGAGATTGTTCATCAGAACATGCCTCCTTCATGTTTCTCCCACAGAAGTGTCTGGATTAAAGATTCGGAACAAGCTTCTGGGCAAATGCCTGCAGGTGCAAGAAGGAGCAACAGGAGGTCAGGCTTCACTTGGAGAGTGCAGGCCAGGCTCGTCTGTCCAGGAATGGCGCTGGCTCCCAAAAGTCCAGGCGCTCAGCAGCCTCCACACCGGAGAATGTCTGACTGCGCCGACGGAGGAGCAAGAAGGCATTGTTTTGCGGCCCTGCATTTTCAAAGACAGAGCTGGTGGCGAGGATGTGGAAAGAGAGGTGAGAGGTCAGGCTTGGACTTGCACAAAGAAAGGCCACATAACTCTGATAGAGAACAGGCTTCACTTGAGTGCCTCAAAGGATTCCACTCTGGTTTTTCTGCTGAGGGAACATAAACAGGTAAAGATTTTGTTTTACTTCACTTAGTAAGTTGAGTCTAGCTGGTCTGAAACGCCTTCAGAGGTTCTCATGGTTCCCCCTCTTTGCTAGCAGGGCAGCAAGTGGCGAGCTCTCCACAACCAAACGTTGTGCAACGGGAGAGACACTGAAGAAAACCCAAACCAACTTTATCATCACGTGGAGGGGAAAAAAACAAACATTTCTGAAAGCCCTTTATCAGAAAGACACATGCAGGTGAAAACATGTAAGAACCAAACAGAAGTAAAGATGTGCTCACTTGTGTCTTCCTTCAGATTGCTGCAGTACTAATCTTTTTTTTAAAAAATGGCTGTAAGTAGGCCTTACATGTTTTAATACTGATTTCTGTTGGCAGTTAACAGTTCAACAGATGTGGATGTGTCCATATAGTCATTCCAGTTTTTAAGTGTGGAAACCAAAGTATGAAAAATAACCTTGGGGGAAAACAAAGTTTGCATTAATTCATCTAATTGAATTATGACCCATGAAAGACTGATTTTAATGTTCTTCTTCATCATGGTGAACTGGTAGCATAGGCCTACACCATAAAAGCATGGTGTCCATTACTGCTGCAGTATAAACAAATTATGTAGCCATTATGCCCATCTGATGGATTTGTCAGATTTTTTTTTTTTTACTTTATTGACAGCAGGTCAGGTTTCAGCCTGACTGTCTGAAGTGTTAGTTTTCCAGTGAGAGAGTCAGCTACTCGACTCAGGCCAAGGGAACAATGTGTAGAATATGGCAGTAAAACGTAATTTGGATGAAAACTGCATTGAATTTCATTTACATTTCACCTTTAAACCAGTATTATTGGTTCTTTAAAGATTCAAGAAGGATAAAATAATTTATTTTCAGCAATGGCCTCAAAATGACTTGGGTCTCTTTGTATTGTTCTTACGTCCAGATGAAGGTATTTTGGACTCTGAATGGACAGAAGCTTATTCTGTAAAGGACGTGACGATTCCTTTTTCTTTAATCACCAAATCTCCTGCAGATCCTACTATGGTTTTTTTCACTATGGACTATGGTGAGTTGATCAAACTGTAATCCTTAAAATGATTGAACGTTGTTACAATTGCTCTGTATAAATCCAAGACCAAAACAGTTAGTTGCCTCATCTTCTGCAATTGCTCTACATAACCTCTAGATGGAAGCAGTTCTTTATGAATTGTGGGTAAAGGTCTGTGAGGTAGAGCATGCATGAAGAGCAAGTTACAATATGTGAAAGCTGATGTAAGATATAAACTGGTGTCTTTAATTATACCATGTGTTCAGGAATGGGATGGAAGATAACCATGTTGGTGTTGAGCTCCATGGCTCTGGTCCTAGGAGCTATAATTCTCATCCTCAATGTGTACTCCAACAGGTGAAGATGGCAATGCACACATGCACACACACAAGACACACTAAGCATGTCATTCAATTGTTGAATGAACATTTACTTTACACAACATGCAGAACAAAAGCCCGACTGCAGGGGTAGGTTAACTTTGGTACACAAGCCACATGCGGTTCTTCAGTATTTCACTTCCCCCTCTCTGTTTCTTTATGTTGTGCCAGGAGGAGAAAAGTGGTTTGTGTCTTGAAGTCGTACACTCCCACACCAGAGATGAGCATTCCTGGATCGCCAGCGCCCAATGAAAGAGCCGCCCTGACCGAGCATGCGATGCACTTTCCACACTCCTCGCCAAGCCTGCCACGGGGGGAAATCTTGATAGAGTGGAAGGATGGCACTGTCACGCCACTATATGAGGCCTGAAAGCCTCCACCGCTGATGTAGATTGAGAGCTTCGTTGTTTTTCTGTCAGTGACTCTGGTGCAGAGTTAGATTTGTTACTTGCTGGTTATGTTTGAATGGGAGTATATTGTGACGGGATAGATACCAAGAAAAATAAAGCAATGTAGTCCGAGTGTGTTGCTGGCACCTTTAAAGATGTCCTGTAGATTGTTTTGCAACCTACAGCAGTACACATGTAGGGCTCAGATAGAAGATTGTCTTTAAGGAACTGGAAGATGAAAAGCTTTGTGTAGTTGTCATACATTTGAGCTCACACTAAAATTTGGGCTATGGATAAAAACATAGTAAGGATGACTAACTGGAAAATTGCAAAATAATGATTTGGGGTATAATATGCCTTTTAGTTTCTTATGAAATCATATTCATGATGTTGATTTGTACTGTTTATGTAAAAGATGACATTGTCTGTTGTGTGTCAAGGCATAATAAAAAATGATGAAGTCTTCACCAGGCTCAGAATATGTTTAAATCTACAGATATGTAAAAAGAAAGGAAGAAAAATTGAAAATATATGTGTGCTACTCCAACTTGCTATCTCACAAGGAATGTCCCAGTCAAGTTTACCAAATCAATTACATTTTATGAACTGATTGTGGACAAGTATGAACAGCAGAGGATTTAATTTTTCTGGAGGATATTGGTGTGCTTTCCAGATTGGAGAAGAGAAGTAGATGATTTAAAGAAGAATTTGATAATTAAAGAGGTCGCTTCCAAGACATTTCAAGTTGATTTATAGATGGGGAAACTTTCCAGAGTCATGCAATAGCCATATAAAAAAGCCATAGAAAGGTTAGGTTAAACTTTACCTGTCTGAGTTGGCATGTTAAAGTTCACCACAGTGCAGTTACAAAAAATAATGCAAAAATGTAAATGCTTGTTTGAAATGATTATTAGAAGAAAGTGTTTTTTTTTTAATGAAGTGCGGCACAACAAAGATTTTGCAAATGAGCCTCTGAATTAAACCCGTTCTATGTTCTTTGCTAAACTAGATATGTTTAACTTTACTGTAAAACAACATCCTTATGAAAAAAAATCTAAAGCAGCAAATTAGCACAGATTTTTAAGTGTCCACTGAGATGGTGGAGGATGACATTTTGAAGTCATTATTCTGCCACAAGATCCTGGCGCCTTCCATTCATTGAGTCATACATGAATTATACTGTAAACTTGGAGTCTTGGAAGACTTTATACAGTCAAATTTGAGGCTATTTTTTTTCTGACAACTAAAACTTGACCAGACAGGAAAGTGAAACATGACAACACAGCTGTAAATCTACAAGAGTGGCTGAAAAAGAAAATAATTGAGATCAAATCAAAGTTAAAAAAATGCTGTGGTAGGGCCTTAGAAGGCTGTGCAGAGATTGATGCCTGCAAACCTTAATGAGCTGAAGCCATGTTATACTGAAGATTGAGCCAAAATACCTTCAGAACCACATAATTGACTATTAAATCCATATAGAAAATGACTATTTGGTTTATCAAATTATGTGTTTTTATTCTTTCGCACTTAGACCGTCTACTTTCTTCTTGTTTTACTGTTTAAATATTGACAGCATAGATGTTATGCAGTACATTGATTTGGGATACATTTGCAAAATCTTGGTAAACAAACATTTGTTTCTACCCTGATATTTAAAATCCAGTCCATGAAAAAAAAAACGTCTATGTGTATGTTTCTGCTTTAGTGGTTCAAAATCAAAAAACAAAGCAGCCACTGCTTAAAAAACCTGCCATTGATCCTACTGTTCTGGCAAATTATCGGCCTATTTCGAAGCTGCCTTTTCTTTCTAAGGTTTTAGAAAAAATTGTATACCATCAGCTGAAACAGTTCTTAGATGAGGATGGTATTCTGGAGGTTTTCCAATCAGGCTTTAAAACTCTCCATAGCACAGAATCTGCTCTAATAATAGTTTTTAATGACATCCTTCTGGCATGTGATTCTGGTAATCATGTTGCTCTGATTTTACTTGACCTTACTGCTGCCTTTGATACAGTCGACCACGACATTTTAATATCGCGATTACAGCATATTGTAGGTATTGGTGACACTGTTCTTAATTGGTTCAGGTCCTACCTGGAGGACAGAACATTTTCAGTAAATGTTAGAGACTCTGAATCATCTACTGCTTCAATGCCATATGGTGTACCACAGGGCTCAATTCTGGGCCCAATACTTTTCTGTCTTTATTTACTGCCGCTGGGTTCTATCTTCAGGAAACATGGGATTTCATTTCATTGTTATGCTGACGATTGCCAGATTTATTTTCCCCTGAAGCAGAAACATGTCCAGTCAATCAAACATCTCCTGGCATGTCTAAGTGATATTAAAGCTTGGTTGGCTTTGAACTTTTTAAATTTTAACGAAAAGAAAACAGAGGTGATGGTGTTCGGACCCAGTGGCTCCTGTGAGTCCTCCTCTGTTGACCTGGGACCCTGGGAGGTGTATTTTGAACCTCTTATTACAGATCTTGGTTTTAAAGTGGACAGTGATTTTAAATTGGACAGCCAAATTAGAGCTGTGGTTAAGTCCAGTTTTTATCATTTAAGATGATTGGCATCAGTAAAATCTTTTCTTTCCAGGCAACATTTTGAAACAGTAATCCACGCTTTTATTTCGACTTGACTGGATTATTGTAACTCTCTATATCTGGGAGTCAGTCAGTCACTTCTCTCACGTCTGCAACTGGTTCAGAATGCGGCTGCACAACTTTTGACAGGAACTCGAAAGAGAGAGCATGTAACCCCTGTCTTGGCATCACTTCACCGGCTGCCTGTTTATTTTAAGGTCCGTTTTAAAATTCTTATGTTTGTTTTTAAATCGCTGCACAATCTTACCCCGGCTTACCTCACTGAGCTTCTTCACCCCTATATATCTTATCGGTCTCTTAGGTCTGTAGATCAGTTGCTCTTGGAGGTACCGAGATCTAGAAGGAAGCTCAGAGGGGACAGAGCTTTCTCTGTCGTGGGTCCTAAGCTATGGAATGACCTGCCTTTGTAGGTCAGAGAGGCCCCTTCACTGTCCACTTTTAAAGCTCGTCTTAAAACCCACTTATTTCACTGGGCTTTCAACTCCAGCGAGATCTAGTTTTATATTGTATGTTTGTTGTTTTAAACTGTATTTGTTTTTATATCTATTTTATGTACAGCACTTTGTATCAGCTGTGGTTGTTTTAAAGTGCTTTATAAATAAAGTTGGTATGGTAAATACATTGTTTAGTGTGCAATGAGTCAATATGCCTCATTAAATTAACTCATTATTGATATTATAATCGGGATATACCTGTATGGTTATCCCTTTAAATAAAGGGATAAATCATCCCTTTATGGTGATTAAAGGGATAAATCCTTTACTTAAAGGATTTATCCCTTTAAATATAGGATTTATCCCTTTAAATAAAGGGATAAATCCTTTATTTAAAGGATTTATCCCTTTAAAGGATTTATCCCTTTAAATAAAGTGATAAATCATCTCTTTATTTAAAGGTATGATAAGCCATCCCTTTAAATAAATAAATGAGCAAAATCATCTCAAGGGATTCATCCATCACGCACTAATTTAAGAGGAAGTGAAGTGAGAGTCAGTTTCTCGAAGCACAGAAAATGTCCCACCAGGTGGAGTCTTTTTCTAAAACCAAAATGGGTTTGAAAGGAGGAGCTCCCCCCCTCCCCGCCCCCGTGTTATACAGGTTAGTTTGCACCGTAGGCAGCATGTACTTGTTTGGACCGAAACTTTCACAGTTTTTGAATGAGACTAATTGAAATTCAACACTTGCAGTTGGGAGCAGCATAATTGCTCTTTATTACTTTTTCTTCCATAAAGTTTTCAATGAACACAAAAGCCGTCAAAACCTCTGGCTCCCCTTGGCTGGTTTTCTTTATAATGATGAGAGGATTTAAAGTTTTCTGAACACGCCAAAGCCTTGAAGTTACAGAGAACCCAACACCCCTCTAAGCCACGGCTGCGTGTATGGATTAGGACAACTGCTTTTTAAAGAATGCCTTTACATTTGTTTAATGTAAATATCTTGTGATTTTAAGTTTTAACACTCTGGAAATGAAGTCACCCAGTCTTCTCTCTTTTTTTTTTGTCGCTGTTGTTTGTGGTGAAGCTGCAACTATAATAGATGCATGTTTGCAGGTGGGGCAAGTAGGGCAGAACAGGGTGTGTTTTGCACCTGTATGAATAAAGGGCGTGTGAAAATTGACCCAGCGCTCAAAACATGTAGCAATGCATAGAACAGGTTTCCTTTAAAAAACTCTTTAGACGACTACTGTCACTAAAGGTGCTAATTTTTACATTTACTGGCTTAAACTGCACGCTTGCTCAGTCCAGAGGAGAGTAAAAAATATCCAAAGGATTGTGTGCACGCCACATGGAGTGAGAATGTTAGCAATGTGCAAATGTTGGAAGTTTCTAAAAAAAATGCATGGAAATAAAATATTGACACTGGTAGATGTGTAAGCCAAACTTTTGGGATAAAGTGTCAATGTGGTGCAGTGTATTATTGGCACAGAAACAATGTTGCACTTTATTAAAAAAATTTCAAAAAACATTGTGCTGATTACACAAGAAGATAACTTTTTTTTTGTTCATGTGATTGTAGGATTTTTTTTAGAAAAAAAAGAACAAAATTATGAACAGTTCCAAGTCCAAATACCTGTCCTGAAACCATCAGGTTTTGGATAAAAATCAGAAGTTGAAGTGAGGTAAAATATTTGAGCCTCACAGTGAGTCCAGCTATTCAACCCAACAAAGAAAATGACTTCAATATGTGGGAGGCATAAAGACTGCTAGCAAAAAAAGACTGAACCCTGTTTTATAAAAATGTTTTTTCTAAGTATTCACACAAATGTAATCAAGTTTTTACATCTTAATGTTTTCTTACATTTTCTCAATTATACATACATTTTTTGTTGCGCTGTACCATAAAAACTCTTCATTTTTACATCACTAAAACCTGCCACAGGTTTTTAAAAACCTCTGTACAGATTGCAGTCAGAAAACAGGAAGCTGTAAAAATGATCGTTATACTGCAAAACAGTCTGAGGACAAAATTTGCCTTTAAATTGTTCTCCCTGCTAAAGGGAGGAAAACACTAAACGAAGGAACAGAGATGACCAAAAACAAGTGTATTTCCAAGGATTAAAGGTTCATGTGCATACTCTTTTCTTTGACACTACAACCACGTTTTTTGTACAATTCAGAACAATTTCCATCTTTGTTTCATTTTGCAGTAAAGCATCAGAAAACCAACAATGATTAAAAAAACAACAACTTTGCAGTCCAGCCAAAATGTAGGCATCCACAAATCAGCTTCAAACTCTCATTATCACTTGGTTGAAGCGTATCTGTCCACAGAGTTGATTTTTTTTTTTTTTTTTTTTCCATTTCAACCTCTCCAACATTTTAATAATATCAAAAATCTTTCAGAGTAGTTGAGAGACAA